CAGTTCCTATTCTAGTCGATTTCGATCTCGAATTTAACTTGGAATTTAGTGCACATTGATCACAGCAAAATTGCTCAACATTGATCAACCCAATGTAGTTATGTAGGGAAAATTCTGTCAGTTCTTAACCATTACATTAAATTTAAATACATTATATCATGCGTAAGATGAACGGTGGTTTGATTATGCTACCATGAATTGTCGCGAGTTTTAAACCATATAACCATGATCCATTATAATTAATAGTCAAAAATGCATGACATACATCAATTTTGCGTAGTTCAAACAAACATAAATACTACATAAGGTTTTGGAGTGCTAGGCCAATCAATCAGGCTATGAATATGTACTTTTATATTTTGCCTGTACAACAACAAGTACAACTTTGCTGAAGAAAGGATATAGATATCAGTCACTGGTGATTTAACTAATCATAAAGTGTAGTCATATATGACCACATAGGTCCGGAAGGGATAAATACAATATCTATAAAATAAATTTATTGGTTCATTGCAATAGCCCAGAAAAGAGATTTTCAACACACAGCAAAAAAAAAAAATTGTTATCACATCAAAGTGGATGCGCTTCAATCGTGTCAAAATATGGTGTAATATTAATTACCAAAAAGGACAAAATTATCATTAATACAGTGCAGTGTATGAACTGACATTAAGCTGCATTTGCTGCATTTGCTGCATTTGCTGCATTTGTTTATTGTTGTGGCCATAAAAATTACATGAGATTTTCGGCATGATTTAAGTACATCCTCTTGGATGTAGTATTAAAATTAATTTTTGCTGTGCATAAGATATTATAAGAACTGATGTAGTAGGGGTTTATTCAAATAATAATGTTCCTTTATAGGATGCAAAATATTGCATAGAACTCTTATTGGGATATTCGATTAAAAGAGAGAATTTATTTCATCAACTTTGGTTGCAACTTGATATATAATCTAATTTCGCCTTACTCTTCGACGAATCTCTGAAGTTCCAAAAGTTCAAGCATTCAACGATATTTCCATGAAAACGAATGCTCCATAGCCAGCGTCCAGCACTTATATTTGTAATTCTATATTGAGAGCATAAAAAATGCCCCATAACCGCAGACAAGTTGTCTCAGTTACAGACAAAATTGCCCTATTCCTGTGTGTTTCGCTAGACGCCATAGTGGTCTGAGATTGCGGAAGCACAATCTCACTCACTCGTACGAATCAGATTGAATTGCATCAAATTTATCCTCCACACCTGATGGTCACCGCAGTGATGAACGGTTTGGGACGCGTCAGTGCATGGCGGCGAAAAGTAGGTATAACTCTTCTCGTGATGTGTGATGCTGCTGCTTCAGAGTAGCGTGAAATTGCCACGAGGAATTCCGGACGAGGCTCAATGTCACACTGCCATTCTTTGCCTTGCACCTGATGGATCCCAATGGTAGGGCAGAAGGCAGTATTTTCTTGCAGCTTGCGATGGCTGCTGCCCCATAAAAAGATTAATCCCATATGACGGGCGGGCGAGGAAAAACAAAAATCCCATCGCATATTGCAGGGAGATGACAAAACTTTTCTCATAAATCATGTTTTGGGGCAATTTCATCACCTTATGGGATGCGTGAACGGATAGGCGAAGGGGTTTTGAATGAAAACTGGAGATATCGTTTCATGCTGAAGACGAATAATATGTAATATTATGGTGGAAGTAGATCGAACATAATATACACCTCTTTTCCCAAACACATTTTACTCATTCAACAAGCGATAATCATGAGTAATACGATTCCTACAATCTTATCAATTACCTTTGCTTGATATTTGAGATCCTAACTCATATGCAACTATCAGAAAACAATCCTATTCACGTCACTGATTGCATCACCCAATGAATACATGTGCACAAGTGCAGAAATGGTGAAAATGAATTATCTTCTTCACGGATGTTGACTTCGTTCGACCGAAACGATGTGCATATCGGGGTTATTGCTTAGCATAGGTAGGCTTCTATAGTTAGCTTAGTCTGGTTCTTCAATGAATCTTCATAGGAAGCATGTGCTGAGGGTACGATTTTTTCAACCGTAAATTAATTGCTATGCCGATCAGTGAAGACAGGAGGCCCTATAAATGCAGTAAAATGCTATCATCATTCCGTATGATGTTCTTCTAACAGTACTTTGGATGTGGTCTGATTTCCAAGCTAGCTGTGTGCAGTTTGGTTTCCATGCTCCGTATGATGCAAATACATTTGCAAACTAATTGCTATTACTACATATTGCTTATGAGCAAATGACGTTACATTTGATAAAATTCGTATGAACACCCGCCGGTAATAATTTGTATTTCTCAATAGACACAATTAGCAAAAAAGAAATAGCATTCTATTTATAATCATCATTCTCAACTGTGCAGACGCATATAATTAACGCAATTGGTATTCGATCGAGAAACGGAGGAGGTCCACAAGAAAGCTATGACGCAGCCGGTGCCGGACGGACAGACGCACAGCAGAACCACGTAGAACAATTAAATGCGGAAAAAAGAGAAATCACCTGAATGAAGTTAGGTACTTCCTTTGCTTCACCTTGTCTCACTCGTTCAATGCCACAATTTCAGACTTGCCCGTTTGTTGTAGCTCCATGCGATGTTTGTTATTACCCACCGTCTGCTGTAATGAGTCGAGCCTCCTCGGAAGAGGTCGGCCGGGAGTTGAATTGTGGTAAGGGACCATGCACTTATTACATAGGATATTTCTGTCCCATCTCTCTTTTAGTAAGATGTTAACATGTTCTGTATTCTTCATGTTATTCTTCATGATTTTATAAGGAATTCCTGAGATTCCCTGCCTCCCTTGTATCTACACCAGGGTTGAAAAAATCATGAAAAAATCACCAGCATTCACTATTAAATGAATTTTTCATCCATAGTGAACTTTGATGAATTTTAGTGATTTTTTCAGCCCTGATCTACACTGCGGTGATCATAAAAAACCTGATAATCTCATGAATCTAACATGCTTGTCTAATATATCAATATCACACTTTTCACTCTTATTGTAACTTTAGAAGATTTAACGTTTTTTGCACTTTATAACTATGGGCCGAACATTAGAAACGTAATTTTGAGACGTGATCCTAATTATGGCCTACGAACTTTATATGATAACTCTGTTTTGGTATTGGTGAAACCATTCGCGTTAACGACGACGACTGCAACTGTTCGCTTCTATAGGAAAACCCCATGAGCAAATTTCAGTTTCGTGAAACATAGTGAATTGTTACTTATCCCTTCACTCCACTGAAAAATCTCGTAGGCAAAATGTCAATCTGTACGTGAAAGGGCGGATCAAAACTGTACACATGCTATTTAAAAAAAAAACCCAAATTTGAGTAGAATCTACTCATATCCGTCCTGTGGGTTGTTTAAAAATAGCGTGCATGGCAAATAAAAGTGTCTCATATATAAGTACCGCTGACTCAAATTTGCAGAAGCGTAGGTCACCCGTAGAATGAGAAAGTTATTTTAAAATATGAGTAAATGTCACTAATATTTGAATGACATTTACTCATATTAAAGACCTAGGTTTTGCTAATTTGAGTAAACGGGATTGAAATATGAGTTAGATTTATTTACCGTGTAACTAGGCGCATCGAAAAACATTCAAGCAGAACAATGCATTATGTCCTAAGTAACATTGATCCATTCTCTAGTCGACTTTCCGTTTCGTTAATAACTTGGCTACGAAATCGTGTCATGTCGTAGCTTCTTTTATTTTATTTTTTTTTTGTTGAAAATAGCTGGAAGAGTGTGAATGCAAAGAGAAATTCCTTTGACAGTTCGTTATGTGTGTGGTCGTGAGATGATTTATTTGGCTTGTATTTTTACTCTAAAAGTATCGTGATTTATGTTGTCTGGATTTAGCACGATGCGCACGAAGTCAATAATAACGCGTGATATGAATGTTGCATCCATTATTTTCAAACAAACAAAAGAAGCACTCCAACAGAACCGAAGTGAATTCAATAACGTTTCATTGGCGTTTTTATGCGTTCGGCCGAGTTTAGTTCTAAAAAAGAAAAAGGTGTCGCACGGCATGTTTTGTTAAAAATGGTATAAAAATGCAATTATCCCCTACTACAAGTTTCTCCCGGGGGCAGTCCGAAGGTTCCAAAAGCGGCTAATGTTGTCAATGATGTATTTAAAGTCTATCGAAAGCCTATTGATTAAAAGTCATGAAGAAAGAACTGTAGTACGGCATGTTTTGAGTGATTAAAATATCTGACCGCATTCAAAACCCTCCATCACAACCGATTGAATGGAAATGACCATGTCTCGGTTGATTATAGGAAGATTTTAGTTCTTCGCATGTCATTCTTTTTGAAAATGGTTCTTATTTCTGTGTATTTACTGTAAATATCTATTTTTAACCGGCGTCGTATAGAACATCTCATCACAAATTTAGCAAGTTAGACAAGTCCTACAGAAATCCGGAATATCTCCGGTATCCGGTGACCATGGTTATTTTTGTGACTACACATTGTTTTAGTTTTCTAGTCGAATGCTTTTGGAAAAATTAAAATCGGATCATATTTGACGAAGTTACAACACGCCAAAGTTGACCACAAATTTGCCTATCCTAGTTATTTTGAGAATCCCCTATGTGTATAACAAGTGTGCATAACAAAACAGTAATTATCCGGTTTTGTCTCGGTGGGTTTTCAAACAAGCGCTCTTATTTTCTGTGAGTGACTAGTTCTCCATTGACCCTACTCACATGCAAAAAATCAAACCAACTGGTTGAAACCCCGCCGAGAAAAAGCGGTGGGTGCAACTCAGTGGGTAATGCGTTCTTCGGGGGATAGCTGTATATCTGAAATATACTGATATAAAAAAAATACTTCAAGCGCTCAATCGTTATGACAATTTTTTAAGTGACAGTTACTCCAAACCACTCTGTATACATGAAATAATATTTTTAATTCCATGGTGAATCTCCATCATTGAGGAAACAATGTATGAGAATTTGTCGAAAGTTAATGTTACTTTCAATTCTCCTAGTAATGAAATAATTTTGTAAAAATGCGTATGCCCTTTCATTGTCACCGGCTCTATGTGATAATAAACAACCACTACTGCACATTTAAATACATTCAACCATTTTCTCTATTCCAGGCGGCGCATATAAATTCAACGCTGTGCACAACGGGTGAGTATTATTAATAATTATTTTTAAAAAGACGTTTCTGAATTATCTTACGATCTTAAATTTTGTATGTTCATTTGATGTAATTATGACGGATCTCAAGCATCATTTTTGATTTAATTATGGCCTTCAAGTCCATTATGAGCCTTACAAACCTCTTCAAAGCTATGATGAAACCGAACACGTACACGTACATAATAGATAGTGTTGCTTAACCGGTAACACTGTGCCATTCTGCAATACCGATATAATAGCTTTTATCCTTATAAAAACCGGTAGTTTTGGTTTATATCCAATTTAGACGTTTTTTTTAGCTAATTCTGATGAACTCTAATAATAAAGTATAATATTAAATATTAAATTTTAAATCAAATCATACAATCTTATATTTTAAGATTTTTCAAAGCTTATTCAGCTATCTTCATAAAAATTATATCCAAAAATAGGTTTTAAAACACTATCTTGAACTTAAAGTTCTAAGTATGTTACAAATTGGAATAAAATTGATATTTAATAGTAATGGTTAGCAACTGAGCATCTAATCCTAATCCTAATGTATTTTTTTTTCTGTTGTGATCTATTGTGATATATTCCCCGTTTATCGTATCATTATTATGTGAAACGATTGACATGGACTGACCAAAAGTATTTTCCAAGCAAGGCATTACTTTTCGAGTGAAATGTACTACTTGACTAAGACTGTGCCCCGTAACTTGGGTAGATCACCTTTTCGTGGTACGTTACGGGATGTAAGATCTACCACTGTTTCCTAGTCCTGACTACTTCAAACTAGGGAAACAGGATTTTTCAGTAATCAAAGGAACACATCTTAGTCCTTGTTACTTTTTATACCTTTTTGATAGTGACAAGACTCGGCTTTGTCCACAAAACAAGGAAAAAAATAGTTAGTCTTCATCTATGTGATTCCTTATCTTCTATTCGTTGTTCCCTAGGTTGAAGTGTCATTATCGGTGGTCATTATCGGTGTCATTCCTTACTTTTGTTGTTAAGGAATCCAATTTTGACTGACAAAGGGGTGCGCCTTTGTAGGGTGGTTTCACTCGAAGGCAAGCATGACAACTGTATCAAGCCCGAATACTTCATCATTTCTCAATTGTGATGGAGTAATTCGACAAGCGCTAAACTAAGAACACATGATGCATAGATCAAATACTGGTCGCCATGGCTCTATATCCCGAACAGAGGAAAATAAAAAAGACCTGCATTTCAAAAATCAAAGGGTTCTGCCAGCCCCTTATCCAGAAAAATACGTCTATTATAGAAGATTGCTGTACAAGATCATATAAGGTGTTCTGAGTATTCCTTTTTTATGCCACATAATCGACACATATCCCCTTGAAGTTTTCTTATTAGCTTCTAATTACATTTACATGTTACTAAATCATTGAGATCTTCCTTTGATAATTCAAGAATTTGCGAGTCATTGGAATGTTCGGATTTCGTTCGTTTCGACTGCCTAGCAATGGAAGTGTTATTGCAGTTGGTCTCCACTATAATTTTTTTCATATTTCTTGATCTACATCGGCTTTTTCATTTCCTTAAATTCCGCAGAGGCCAGGAGCCCAGTATAGGTTCACTTGGTTTTGACAGGCCAATTTTTGAAGGGATATTGCGCTTTCTCATACACGTTTTGAATTGCATGTTGCTGATTTTAAAGCATTTATTGCTGCTTGACTATTAGACATAATGCAGGTATTCGAATGTATATAATTTCTGCGCAAGCATATTTCAGAGCATTCAAGAATTGCTTGAATTTATGTTTTGAACACGGTTGGCCAGTTAAACATAAATATTGAGAAAACTACTTTTTTTCTCTTTATTATAGAGATGGTTCGTCTCTTAAAAAACGAGGGGTGGGGACTTCAGACGGGAGTCCTCTCAATAACAGAGCTAAAAGGATTAGGAGGTGAGATTCCAGGAGAGAATCCCGAGGATACTTCAGAAGGAAGTCCAAGTAACATTGCAAGCTTTATAGAGGTTTTATAGCATTCTACAAGTTCAAATCATGGTCTACAGAACCCTCATAAAACCAAAATTGTTACTTGGGAGTCCCACAAATAAGAAAGTTTTAATATTTCAGAGTTTTCCTTTAATGCTACCGATGTTACTGTCGTTTTTAATAATCGTGGTCATGTGGCAAGTTCCGTGTCCTGATCCTTTGTAGTCGCTGTGTTTAATTTTAGTGCCGTCATTCGTCCATTTCCGTGTCCTCGTACGTGCTTTGCTTGGGTAGATATCTCCGTTCATCCGTTTCAGAGTTAGTAGTCGTTGGCGAGATATGAATTTGAGTCTTGATATTTGATACATCAAATTTGGTTAAGCAGACCTGCCTCCTGAAGAAAGCAGAAAAGCGCAGCGATGCTGGATGGGTCATTCCTAACGCTACCTGAGATCCCGTATAGAAAACGGGGCCCGTAGGCCCGTATGTATCGCACCGCATTCTAAATCTGTCTCCGCCTCCCATGTTGTGGAAGACTTTTTTATGGTCAGTTCTTAACCGGAATAAAATGACTTGGAGTCGGTGTTTAGGTGGATCCTCCCATTTTGTGGTATCCTCTTTTACCTTCCGGATAAATTACTCTCGAAATCGCATCCATTCGTTAGTTCAGCAGTTTCATACCGTGATTGTGGCAGAATCGAAAAATATGGCGATGGGTTTGTTGGAGGGCAGAGTGGCAGCTACGAGAATGGAGGCTGCATCAGTAGTGAAGACACTGTAGGTGTCTGGTAGTCGGTAAAAGGTGCAGAGATCCGAATAGGAAATTCTAATACCGACTCTACCACCGCTTTGGGTATCGTGCTTGATGATTGTTGTATTTGGTTCGATGAAATTCGGCTACTGTTCTCACTAGTGGATGAGGAGTTGGTTCTCTGCTCCTACACGATTGTTAAATTTTGAACTGTCTGTATAAAAGACAACTGAATCTGGGTGGATGTTTGGTCCCCCATTTTCCCACACATTATGACCATTACGATGTATAAACAATCGAACTTTTTTTTTCATTTTTAATACAGGAGGATCAATATCAAACATTTTTAGACTTCTCAGAACTCCAGTAAGATCACCTTCATGAAAATGTTTTGTTCGTTAAGCCCTTAATGCACTCCTTTCAGCTTATAATTGGATAAATTGATGCAAGCAGATATATTAGAGCATGGGGCGACCACTGCGTAGTGGTTAACATTCATACCTATCACGCCAAAGTCACGAGTTCAAATCTCACCTTGGACAAGTCAACAAGAGTGTTAAAGTGACTATACAAAAATATTAGAGCATATAGTGCCATACTTAGTCTGCTGTTTATTGCGCCAGTTATTGAGCGAGTAGCAAGTCTTTGCCGTCTCCCTAGTTTCCTCTGAACCAATTTTTAATTCGAATTCGGCCACCAAACCAACGATGCCAAGTAAAAATTCTGCAATCATTTGGTATCGACTCTGATTTATGATGGTTTTATAATGGCAATGAATAATCCATTTAGTTTAAATACAGCATTTCACGGTGTAAAACGTTCCTGCTTAGTAGTTCACCTTTTCGCTGTTTTAAAAACCTTTTACAGTCTGGCGAGAAGTCAAAAACTGTCTTGCTTTAAAATTAGATTTAAAGTTGTTCTCAATCCCACCATAAAACTGTTCTATAAATCAATCATAAACTTCATTAGCATTTTTTTTATTAATGTCTTGATAAAATACTCTATAAACCTGTTCTAACATTATAAAAGCAATCATAAAACCATTAGGTTTTAAATGAGAGCAAATGGCATATATTGTTGCCTTTTAGGCTTTTAAAAGTGTATCATAAAATCTCCTCTGTTTACAAATTGAATTTTAAGGATGGATACTCACAGTGAATAAAAACCAAATTTATGACAAGGATATCTCGAAGGATAAACGAAGTTGGAGGAAAAATTCAAGCGATGATCGATCTGAAGAATATATTTTTTTTTAATATAAAATAATTAGCAAAATAGATGATTTCAATGGGCGGACTCAAGTTTTTCGATGTTTTCACGTTTCACTTCAAATTTTATATGGCACCTAAAACTAGGCCACTTCATGAGAACTATTTTATAATTTTGGAAATTCGGCAGGATTTTTATACGATCAGTTTTTATTTTAATTATTTTGATAAGATCGGATGGTATTTATAAATACTTTTTTATCTTGATTGTTGTTTTTCTAGTGAACTTAGCAAGCAGCTAGGGTAAATGGCTCGGATAATGGTTTTAATTGTTGCCAAATAGCTTTTATTGTAGCTTAAATACGGGTTTAAAATGGATCTCAATGCGTTTATCGCACAACCATTTTGCAGTAAATCAATCTTGAAGAGCTTCGAAAATATACCCTTCAGAACCTTCTCCAGGGTGGGCCAACTAGACAGATTCTAGCATTAATGAGGTTTTGGTGGATGCATCAATGGCAAAGCAGTCTAGACCAGGGTTTTATGAATGTTGTTTTATAGTAGCTTTGTAGTATTTCATAAAACTTAAAATGTTACTTGGGATGCATAGGTTATTCTGGGTTTTACAATCTTCATTCAAATCCAGTGGATCAGTTTTAGTTTTAAGCCTCATTTCCAAAAGTTTTTTAACTATTCAATCAGCATTTGTTGCATTATTAACAACCTGCTCTAGAAGTGAATTTCAGTTAAGATTACTGTCAAGATCTATTTCCAGATATGCTTGAAAGTTCTAAAGAGTTATAACATGTTACAAGGGTGTTATAATAATTAACGCCTAGAAAAACGTCACCAATACAGCCTTATAACATGTTATTAGTCCGCAGTGCGAACATAGCATAAGTTTGCAAGCTTCCACTCTGCTAGGGACCTTATAATTATTATGCTAAGAACCAATTAGCTCCCATCCCAAGTATCCAACATGCCCGATATATCGTTAATGTAACGCGATGTAACTATAAACGCGTAAAAAATAATTAGAGGGCTTGATGTAGACTTGAGATATGCTATGAGGACTCAATCATTT